GTTTGTAGGATACCTACTTTTTCTTTCGGGTCGCAGACAGCCAACGGTCCGTAGCAGTTCGAGGGCCAAGTCAAGCTTCATGCTTTGATTCCAAAACACAAAAATGCTAAAACCTCTTTATAATCGAGCCATCTGATACGCGGTCAGCTCAGGGCCTTTTCCAGATTGGTTTGCCAAGAGGGCCTGATTTGCGAGTGTACTGTTACATTCTGATCATGATCGTCGTTTCCCGTTCTTGACTTGCAAAAGCTGTGGCTATATCTCGGATAGGTTATTTTTCGAAGTCTGTCGAACATCGACAGATTCTGCCAATCCTTCGAAAGAATTCTGCTGCTTGTATTCAGAATCGCATCCTTCCCGTCCAGAACGGCATCTATGCTCAACACTAATGATCCGGCGAGAGTATGTGCGAAGACAAACTTGTAGATAGCTACTCAGCTCTTTCCTCTGCCAAAATTCGTCACTCGAAGGAACTGGCACCACACCACCCTTTGTACTAGCCTCAGATAAAGCAAGCGGTTTTTTAACATACCAACAGCAATCTAAAAAGAGCTGAACGACTTACAGGATCTGAGATGACATGAAAAAATACGCATCTTCCACAATGTCCGAATGGTAGAACCGAGCAAGTGCGGCGTAATTTTTCGACATTTGCATATATTCATATAAAACAGAACAGGGTCTTTACTATCATGAACTAGGAGAGAAATCCTACACTACGAAGACTCTTTAGCCCGAAATTCGGGAAATGAGTCTGTACTGTTACGTGTTCCAGGTCTCCCCAAATGCCTGCCGTTTATTTCTGGATGTTATTCTGGTGTTTATTCCTTCATAAATGAAGTAAGATTATTTTACAATGAACAGCTGACAAACAGCTGCAAAACGATGTGCTTCGTAATTCGTGGAGAAGAACGAACAGCTCGCGCATCACTCTTTACCTGTACAATGCAGAATAAGCATTAGTCTCGACTAGAACTCAAGAATGTTGTTATATTTCAAAACCATTTAAGTTCTAACGCACATTTATACAAAAATGTATTAAAATAAAAGATGCTATAATGGCTATTGCAAATGGGTTAACAGCAGATATTGCACGACAGCGCAGATATACATATATATAAGTTACAGACAGTTCGACTCGATGAGACCATTGGTGAATATGCGCAGCATGAACTCGCCCTCTTGGTTTGGTTCGAACGTGGACGGGATGATGACGTACGAGCCGGGCTCGAGTCTAAATCTACAGCATATCTCTCTAAGGTTAATGAACACTGGACTGCGGGCGCATGACTTTAGCTCTGCCAGACAATTGGTATTCAGCTTCGAGTCGCATTCGTCCACCTAAACATAAATGGATGAGTGCGCAAGTGACATTCAGCGATGAGTAGCTAACCGGGTAGACGGCGAATCCGATCGGTAGCATGTCTACGTCCTTCGAGCGCATTTCTC